AATCCCGGCGGTGCCGCGGTCCGTATGAAGAAGTGGGGGGGTCAGCTGGGGCAACGCTGTGCAAGTTTCAGGGGGTGTTTTCTTTTTCACTCCAAAGTTTATTCGGACGGTCCCTATCACGCACAGCCCGGGCGAAGCGCCGCGGGCAGGAGTCTCTGCGTGTGCTGGTTTAATTAAAAACGAAACGCTTGACCCCAAACACTGCAGGAGCTCTAAGTTCTGGGTCAGCTCCGTAAGCTCTTTAAGGGTAAGAGCCTTAAGCACGCCCTGGCGTGCCGGGTCTCCGGCCGCTCCGAGGGAAACAGCCCGCCCGGCCCGCCAGGGCAGCGCAGGTGCTGAGTGTGCGGACGCACCTGGATCCGCAGGCGCGGGGCTCGGTCCGACAGAGCCGCGGTGCCTCCGCCCTGTGCCGAGTGCTAGCGGGCAGCGGAAGCCGTGCCGGCCACCTGTGGGAGGAGGGGGCGTCGCAGCCGCCGGCCCCTGCAGCCGCGCCCGGGCTGTGCCCGCTCGTGCTCCGGGATCAGGTTTCCCGCGGCCGGGGCGGGCGGCACCGCCTCCCCGTCCCCGCCTGCCGGACCCGCGGCCGTGGGCAGCGCCGGCGGCGGGAGGGGCGCGTCCTGCAGGGCCGGGGCCGCGGCAGAGCGGCGCGCAGCGGGCAGGTGCGGCGGCTGGAGCTGAGCCGGAGCCGGCAGGTCCGTGCCTCCTGCGCTGCTCTCCGTCATCATGAAGGTTGAGTTCGCCCCCATCAATATTCCCCTAAAGAGGAGGATTCAGACAGTCGCCGTGCTGCAGTGGATTTTCTCCTTCCTCCTGCTGGGTAACAACCTTCCTCCTTCATGCCCCTGCCCCAGAGAGAAAATTGCGAGAAGCGGCTTTTTCCGTGACCAGTGTTACCCGTGGGCATCGCTCGGTGCCAGCCCGTGGCTCCACGTGGGTGCAGAAGCGGCCGGGGGCGAGCGGCTCCCCGGCGACCCTCGGGCGGGCAAGAGCATCGCACTTCTTTCTTCTCTGGAAGCTTTGGATGGCTTTTCCTCTTTTGGGGGGCTCTATTTCTTTCTATGGGTTCTTCAAATATGATCCTAAATAGCTAGTGTCTGTGGCTCCTCATTGAGATGCCCAGTAGGTTTCCGACAGCAACTTTTTTATCGAATATGAGCATAAAATCTGGTACATGACTGATGCTGTTTTCATTCGTAATTTCGTAAAATAACTTTATATGCTGTAGTTCAATAAAATTCTCATTTAACAAGGTAATGAAAATTAATGGGCATTGCCAGTGAATTGACTCAAATGCAGACACTTCTGTAAATGTATGAAAAATATCCTCATTGGCTTTAAGAAAGTGTTGCTAATTCTACTTGGTAATCTTTTTCCACTGATTATTCCTCTATAATTAATGTTCCTAATATCTTAAAAGACACCTATCACTAAACACCCATTCACAGCAGCAAATTGTATTCACATTCTCGAATATGATGAAATTAATCACTTGACAAGGTAAGATAAGCCTTAACTTTATGAGACTAAATCCATGGATTGTATAAATTGGGAAGTGGTTATTGAATAGTCTGTTCTGAGGTACAGAGCCACCTGTGTAGTGCTGGAAATGCTGGAACACTTCTTGATCATCTATGCTCTAGAATTTACAAGAGGAAAGGAGTGTGCACATATCTTCCTTCTATGTCTTGCAAATATATTATCCTTCAGATGGTGTGATGTCTTTCAGATTACTTCTTTTTTTAGGTTGTTAGCCCACACATGAAAGATTTGGGGTATATGGATATAAAGACATGGAAGGTATGAAGCATCTTCACAGATTAATCAGCAGATGTTCTGTTACCTCTAAATTATATGTAGTTAAATGATAAACAGTTTATGTCTCTGGCTACATTGTACGTAGGCTGTACTTTTATTTTTCTCTTATTGAATTAAGTCTTGGCATGAGCCGTTATTTCGGTCTCATAAGCACTGGAAGTTCGGGGGCAGTGGAAGAAAATTTTTTTTTTCCCACCATAATGTAGCAATACTGCTGCAGAAAACCACATCTTCCTGTGCTTACTAGAAATGATTGGGATGCAGAAAATCCTCTCTGTAGTTTAGCAGGCAAAGTAGGTAGCTGTCATCTGCAGCTGGCACTGCCTGGGAATGTCAAGGAAAATCAGCTCAGAAATGGTCTTATGGCTGGTTATGTTGAATATAGTGAGTTTATGTGATCATGAAAAAATGGATTTGCAAAAATGCTTGATTAACAATTTGATTCTAATAATAATTATCTGTTTGTGCACCACGGGGGATGTTTATCTTTAGAGCTGACCAAGGTGACCTTGTCATTTCGTAGGCAGACACTTTGAGTGATATGGCAGCCAGTGACCTGGCCAAAAAAAGTTTCACTTAGCTTCAGGAAAATTCAGGTGGATGAATCCTAAATGAATTAAAGCAGTGAGAAATGGGCTGGTTTCTGATGTTCTGGACTACCCTGGATTGTCTGGATTTTATAGCTTGCTTTTTTTTTTTTTTTTTTTCCTGAACAGACATTGTTTGTAAGCTTTGGATTCAGTAGTGACACTTTCAAATCAATTTCAAATGAGGGGATACCTCAGGACAAGTGAAATACTGCATAAGTTCATCACAGAATAGGTTGGAGGCTTAGGTGTTCTTTGGGGGTTTGTGTGTGGCTGCAACTAGCTTATGCCAAACACCATCTTGATTGTCTTGTGTTACATATCTGCATGTGAAAACTTGAACAGATAATGCCCTATGACAACTAATGATTCATGATATAGATAGAGGGATTCTGTTTAGAGCAGTCAATAAATGGGGTACTGGCTTAGCTGCTAAAGTTGTCCATCTAGGCATGTTGTAATGTGCCATAGCTTAGTAAAATGAACTATAGGACTAGCAGATGAAGAAAGATAACTCTGAAAATTAGTGCCCTGAATGACAAAAGCTGAATTGGTCAATGATATGCTTCATATCTGGGGAGTAACGTGTGAAAAAGTGATTTCACACACTGAGTAAACTGTAAGGGAAATGTGAGCCTATTACAACTTAGAATTCACAATGGGACTTGGATAGAAGACTCTTGGTTTTATCTTCCTGGCTGAAAAATGTAAAAAGGCCTTGCTCTCCAGGCTTGCTTTGTTGAAATGCTGCATGGTTTTCTGAGACTGTGGAATTGGTGTCTGAAAATGCTCTCTTGTGCAGCTCACGAGCTGGCCTGAAACACAGACATACAATAGTTGTTGAAGCCTGAATCTCATCCCAACTGTAGAAAGAGTGAATCAGTCTACAAATACTAAAAAAATAGCAGCAGCAGCAGCTTGGTACAAGCAAAGTTCTGCTTCTTCATGCAGTGTACCAGCTTAGGCTGAACCTGGACTACAGATCCATTGCTTCTGCTGTGCAGTGTACGCAGAGTAAACATGCCTCTGTCTCAAAAAAGCTGTACAGATGTGCACAGAATTTCATTATATACAAAAGGAACCTCTTTAAAATTCTGCCTGTAAGTTCCCGTGCTTCCTTGTTCTGTGTTGCAAGCTGCCAAAGTTCACCCTCAAAGGGAAAAGACAAGTTTTCATTCTAACAGTGATTTGCCTGTTCATTATCCAGGGGCATGACACCAGAAGCAAAAATAAGTTCTGTAATAGTGGCATGTGTATGTAAGAGTTTCTGGGTTAGATGAGAGAAATGTCCATTAACAGATTCCCACCGTGTGTTGGCTGAAAATGCCATGTGATTTTCTATCTTATGTATTCCAAGTGCAGCAGACCAGAAAAGTTTGGGTATAAGTTCCATGAAAGAGAAAAGTGTTTTAATTTGGCCTCTGTCTTGTGAAAAACAAGTATTATCAGTCTTGAGTCCAGAAAACTAAAGCTGTTAAAACTGAAAACTGGCAAATGCTAAAATCCTGCTATTTCTCACTGTATTAAGCACAAATCCAAAACAGCTTCAGGCATAATGTCAAGCTATTAGTGTTTTTCTGCTGAAACAGCAAATACATGAAGTTTTGCAGTGTGGTAGTATCTACTTTGGATAAAAGGCCAAACCAGACAATTTTTACAGACAGTAGTTTTATGCCTGTGATTGCAGTTATTAGAGATTAGTTTGCCTGGCCGAGGGCTGACGGTCCTGGGGCAGGTCTGGCCCTGTTCCGAGCCTGTGCAACACCCACACAGGTCTGCCTGTGAGGCTGTGTGCTGGCTGTGTGCTATCTGCTCTTGATCGCTCTGTGCCATTGTCCAACCCAACCCCAGGCAGAAAGTCACCTGCAGAAATAATATCTCCACGCCTGTAAGTGCTGCTGGACTGACAAAGCAAAGAGGTTACATAACCCCCGCTTTTGTATCATAGGTTCATTGTGCACTAAAGAATTTGTCAGTGTCAATGAATGCAATGGACGTGTCTGGCGTTTGCAGGAAATCTTTGGTTTTAAGCTTGGAAATATTTTTCTAGAGAACTTTGGATTAATTTTGCTGCATTTACCAGTACGTCTGATATCCTTCTATTGGGAACAGGTGTAGGTTTTCTGTTTCTCACGCAGCAGTTGGGCATTTATCCTTGGTGTGTGTGAGCTGTGTGCCTCAGTACTGCACATCTGTCAGAGAGGTTCAGTTTGTATCAGGAGGTGAGTAGCACCCAGGTAGGAGGTAGATCAAAGGGTTCATTTAAAGGCAAAACCATTAAAACAAAGAAAAATCAGTCTGATTTTGTTGAAGTGCTTCTTTCCCAGTGCTTTAGCCTTTTGTTTTCCTTTCTCTCTAACGTACAAAATCAAATGACAGTATTATTGGAGAAAGTAAAGTTAGAAGGTGAGTTGGTGAGTTATGTGCTCCTGCTAACTTGTGTGCCCCTGATGTGAAAATGGACGGTGGAGTTTGAGCATGTACAAAATCAAATGCAAAACCGAGTAACTTGGTTAGGGTGGTGGTGTCTTGGGCCAGACAATGAGAGAAGGAAATGAGAGTTTTAGCTCTGCAGCAGGGATACCAGGGTATTTCTCTGAGAAAAGGTGATGGTAGGGGAGAATGGTGCATCTTCTAAGGTCCACTTTTGGGGCCCAGCAGTGTCCCTGATCCGTCACTGAGGATTTAGGAAGCGATTGTTGTGCAGGCACCCCTGTATTTATTTGCAAAACCCTTAATAATGCAAAATTAGTATATAATATAAGGTACACTTTAATATGCACAAAACCACAAAATAATATGCTGGAGACATATTAAACTACATCCTGTTCACTAGTGATTAAACTTCTGTGCATGTAGGATGAAGCAGTCTGTTAATTGAACTTGCTGGAGACAGTTTTGAGTTGTGGATCTGTATTCCCCGAAAGAATAGAAATTATGAAACAGTTGCCAGAGTGAGAGATTGCTGCTGGAATAATAAGTGATTTCTGTGTTGAGAAAGGTGTCAGTGTAACATGCTAAAGCAAATATTAGCCTTTTCTGCAAACATACCATGATGGTTTGTTATCTAGTGCTGATTTAATTAATCAGCTATAGCTGGATAACTAATATAGGTTTTTTCTTCCTCAAAGTCTTTTTAAAAAAGAACTCTTTTGAGGCTTAAAAAAACTCAGCTAAGCTCCACCAGCCTTTCCTAACAAGCTGGCTGGTATTGCTACTTGTTTTTGTCACTCTGTACTCATCTATCTGTGAAGTTTATTGGTGGCCTATGGGTAGGACTGAAGTGTGATCACAGAGAATAACAGGGTACTTACTGACTAGTATTTCTAGGAATGCTGCCTCAGTTAGCTACATCTTAGAGAGGGAATTTAACCATGTGTCTATTTGTTTAAATCTCTCAAAAATAGTAAGAAACAATGGCTCTGCTGTGTCAGGCCAGAGACCCTAGCTTGACAACCTTGATGTGAACGTAAGTGACAGTGAATGCCTAAGAAGAAAGAAAAGAAATGGGAAATATGTAGACTAAATTTGGCATGCTGTCTTGGGATATGGCAATTAGTAACTTGGGGATTTATGGTATCCAGACCACTCTACCTCCAAGTCAGTTGTGTGTAATGCTCTGTATCTCTAGTTATCAGTATTTGCCAGTGGAAGGTCTTGGGAACTTGGAACCAAATTTCAGCATAATCAGGCCTCTAAAGCTTGGCATCTGAGGATTTGTGTTTGCTATCACAGCACTGTTAAGATAGAGCTTCCTTGTAGGAATGCTCAGATATGTTTGTGGCTCCCATTTGTAACCAATAACCTCACAGGAGGCTGATCCATACCCAATAAATGCTGGTTGCCTAACCACCTCAGTTCTGGACATGTCTACCAAATTCCTGGGGATGCCAACAGTTTTCCAGTGGAGTTAGTTATCTACCATGGATAAAAAGTGTCAGTGGGTTCCTGTGTTACTGGTGGAAAACTGTACATTGACAGAATTGCACAGAGTAGTGGGCTTTAAACAGGACAATACTAACATTATGTCTCATTTTTTTTTTAAAGAGGCTTCCTATATGAAAGCTGCAGAGCAATACTGTGCAGAGGCATGAGCTTGCTTACTGTTGCCTTGGCAGCCTGCCTATTCTCAGGTGTGGCCTATTGTCTCAGGTCTTACTTTACTGGAGTCCATTTGCTGTAGCTGTTCCTTCATTTGAATTTCTGTCATTTTCTTCATGATAGAGAAAAAATTTAGAGAGTATTTTCAGAAATTAAGGCTAATTAATTCATTTTCTCTGCATGAAAGTATCCCATAAATGGGGAAAATAATTCATTCTAATGCCAAAATCAACTGATCAGTTGTAGCTTGAGGGATAATAGAGAGGAGCAAACGTTCATTAGGGATGAAATAATCATGGTACAATTCTTCTGTGTTCCCTCCAAAGTTCTGTTCCCAACCCAGCTCAGAGACATTGCTGCTCTGAAAACTAAGGATGAGAAAACCACTGTTGTAGATACATCAACATAGTTGTTGAAGAATGTAATTTTTCTTTTTTCTTTTGTTTTTTTTCCCCCCCGATGTAAGAAATGAGCTTTTCACCTTGCTGTGTGTATTGATACACACACATACTCATAAAGCCCAGGGAGGAGCAATACAAGTACTACTAATACTTCTCCACCTGTGTATTTTGTATTTGCTAGGATGCCAGGGGGATAAAGATATTTTTACTGCTTCCTTGGTGGGATGAGGTTCAAATTGCTGAACTCTGAACGTCTCCAGCTTATTTAAGGCAGAGCAGCATAATGTGTTTAGAGAAACTTTGCTAATTGTATGTGGGACGTGGCAGGAGCTGGCTCAGAGTTCAGAGCTGTCCTGAGTTGCTGGGCAGTCCTGAGGTTTCAGAGTGAGCTCCTTTGCATGGTTTTTGGAACAGTGCAGAGAGCCTGTGGTGCTGCTTGGGGTGAGACCAGCACCCCTGCACCAGGGACACCCCTGCGCCAGGGACACCCCTGCGCCAGGGACACCCCTGCACCAGGGACACCCCTGCACCAGGGACACCCCTGCACCAGGGACACCCCTGCACTGCCCAGGCATGCTGCCCATGGCTGCTCTAAGCACAATGGGAGCCTTCTCTTCCACAAACAATCTTGCATTTGGTGGCTTTCACAACAGATACTAATCAAACATTTTTTATGCCTTTGTAACTTCAAATGCATTTGAAGCTTCCAATTTCCAGATTTAATCTGTGCTATTTTCCTGCTTCCTACCTCTGGTGTTTAACTGTTTTATAAATTTGGTGTCCCCAGTTGCAAACTCAGGGGCTGATTAATGGTTGAAGAATCAGATATACACACATCATTGGCAGGATGGCTGCCAGTGCTGGTAGCTAACACTACACAGAGTGGTTTTCATCCATTTGTTGCAAAATATGAGTATCCATGTGTTTAAATGGGAAATGGAGGAGAAGTGACACACCAACATTGGTTCACAAACCCAGTGTTCAGAATTCCATGGCAGTGATTTGTCTTTTAATTTATATTTTCTCCTGCCCCCTCACCCACCCCCAAAATCCTGTATATCACAGAGATATTTTTCAAAGCTCTAATTCAAGTTCAAACAAATAATTTACACTTAGAATGTACACTGGAACTACATCCAAGGACACAATTATGCAGTAGAGTAGCAAATCCCAAGTTATTCAGCTTTTGCCTGGAATTTGTTTATTAATTTAGTTAAAATGGTTGCTGTTTATTTACTCACTGTCTTGTCTGAAGGAGAAAACATCACGTTTGTGTTTATAGGCTTATTGTTTTTGAGTCATCAGTGTTTAGCCATCTTGCAGGCTGCTAATTTGTTGAAATAATGAGGAGGTATGGTAAAAGGAATTTGCCTCACATGTCTCACTGGGAATGTAGTAATCAACTTTGTCCTAGAAGATGCTGAGCTCCCCTTAGGAAGTGCTAACAGCATACTTACCTGCCCATACCTCGCAGTGCACTCAGGAATGTGTCCTAGCCAAAGCAAAGCAGCAGCTTGTTGATCTGGTGTATGTTTGTCTGCATAGGATTAAGTACATCTATCTGGGCCTGCTCACTGCTGATGTAATTAGCTCTCACAGCAAGGATGCTTGGCTACAAAGCACTTTTCAGCTGTTTGCTAGCAAACTGATGGTAAAAAGCCATGTGATTCTGTGTTAAAAAAGCCATGTGATTGATTCTGTGTTAAGCTGAAAGTGCTTCTGAAAGGAAGGGTAGGAAATATAAATACTTACTATTTATTGCATAACAAATTAATTGATTTATAGCAGCTAGAAAAAACTTCTCATACTTGTTCAAACTTAAACCAAGAACCTTGACATCCTGTCCAGATTAGCATTCTTAGAAATTTCTTTAGCTTCAGGATCTCTTTGTCAAGGAACAGGTAATGCCTTTTTCTCAATAGATTTCTGTGCCCTATTTTGGAGTAATGCTAATGTAGGATTCCCTGTGAAATTGAGTGTCATATTTCACCCATGTTACTTGTCCTGCATTAAAGATGTTCCTTAGAACTTGTTTCAGTTCTTGTGAATTTACCACGTTGATTTTGGGGGTCTGTGGGCTTCAGTTAGCTGTTGTGTTTTTCAAGAGCTCTTACTCAAGTGCTTTTCTGGGCAAGACTGGGGTTGCTTGCTTGAGGAGGAAGCAGTGAGCTTCTGTATTGAAGAATGGAGTATGCTTGAAAATGGTAGGTTTTATCCTGCTCCTGCTTTTGTTTATGGTCATTTCCTTCTCCCTTCCTCAGAGCAAATGTAATTCCTTATTTTTCTGCTCATATTCCCGCTGGGAGTGTGCATGTTCATTCCCCTGAAGACAAGATATCCAATTCTATTCTGAAGGCACAGTCAGACTAGGCACAGGAACAAGCTGGTTGAAGATCTGAAAAAGTAAACATTCAGATTGGAGGAAATGCAAGTCTGCCTGTAGACCAAGTTGAGAACTCATCTCAAAACCTGCATAGTTCAGGGAATCTGCTGACTTTTCAACACCCAAGTAATATGAAGATGATCTGAACCAAGAGGAAGGGGTTTTACTCTTCGTTCATCTGCTTATTCTGAAGTTTTCAGTTCTGGTGATATTTTGCATTGTGTGAGCCAAATTATTGGCTCAAGTGCTTCTGCTGTTTCTTTAGCTCAGTATGTTTCACTGGGGTAGCTTCTAGGGCATCACAGGATATTGCCCTCATGAAAGCCAGTCAATTGTGAGACATAAAGGACTGCTTCTGCATTGTAAAATATCTCTGAAAAATGCTGGGTTCCTGCAACTCTGCCCATTGAGTCTTCCAGTGAGAACTAGGCTCTGTTTTACTTGCTATTGTGTATATTTATGATGCTAAAGCCCTGACTCCCGAGCAACCTGGACTTCAGCATCTGATTCCTGAGCGTGACGGGGTTTGTTCAGGAGGTGGCAGAGCAAGCAGGCTTCTGCAGGGGTACCACAGGGCAGCTCCTACTCCTCAGACATCTCAGTCTAGGGCTGTTCAACATGCTGCAAGACTAAAATTCTGCAAGTTCTACAAATTTAAAGTTTCCATAGGATTTCCCTGGGTAATTATCTCAAGGTTGAGCCCCAAGTAACACATTACATTTAACCAAACAACTTTTTCTTGCTCTTTGAATTGTGTACAATGTAATTCTTATGTATCACTATTGTAGCAGGATGTTACAATTCTTACTTAATTAGATTTAAAAGTATCAGGACTTACCTGCTGCTGTTTTCCCCTAGCAGCACTGAACTTCGCCTTTGACTGACATGTTTGATGGCTGTAGTGGAACCTCCTCATGTTTTGATTTTGTCTAGTACATCTCCTTGGCCAGTGACAGCACTTTTGGCTGGGAGTAGAACTACCACCCCCATATTATAGGTAGAGAACCTGAGAAAGAAAATAGAAAACCATTGCCCAACACCCCTAGAATTAAAAAAGAGATGTTGCTATGACTTCCTTTCCCTTCTTTCCTTCCCCAGCTTTCCTGTCACTCCCTGAACCATTACATCCTTGTTAGCTCTTGCTGTCTCCTTTTATTTTGCCTTAGGTAAACCAGATGCTCTCTACCAAACATCTAGTTGTGCAGTAGAGGGAGAAATAATAGACGGAGGTGATCACCCTTGTGATGTTTCACCCTCACTGTAACAACACAATGTGGAATAAGCTGAGTTCAATTTGTGTGCATTTTGAGTAAATCTGTAAAAACATATCAGGGCTGGGCATTCAGAGTGTTAAAAGGACACCGGTGTGATTAATGCTTGCTATGCTTTCACTTTTTGTCTATTGTAGCAGAGTTTTGCTGTGGATTCTTCGTGATCCTGATCCTGGGCAAGTTCTGGTTCCTTGCTGTTCTGTACCTGCTGTGGCTCTACCTGGACTGGGAAACACCATGTGCTGGGGGCAGACGGTCCCAGTGGGTCAGAGGCTGGACTGTCTGGAAGTACTTCAGGGAATACTTCCCCATTCATGTGGGTAAAAGGTTTCTCACAAACAGCTTGAATAGCCATAAGCATGGGCAAACATCTATGACCCATCTTTGCTAAAATTCTAGTACTCACTCCAGGGTGAACTTAATTCCTTTTTAAAACTTGGAAAATCTGAGATTCAATGACAAAAGCCTGGTTTTCTAGTTAGACTGTTGGGTGACAACATAGCACTTCAGCACAGTAAATGCTAGACATGGTATCCTGACACGTCTATTTAAGCTTTGTTTATCTGTAAAGCAGGACAGTAGTTTTAAGTGCTCAGAAGGAAATCCCTTGTCATTGCTTCTATATCCTGTCAATGTACAATCTCCATAGCTGTTGTTTTTGAGGTAAATATTATAATGCCCACCACTGACTCTATTTTTCAGCTTATAAAAACTTCAGAACTGAACCCAAATCACAACTACTTACTTGGCTTTCACCCTCATGGGGTCCTGGTAGCTGGAGCCTTTGGAAACTTTTGCACCGATCCTCCTTTCAAAAATTTATTTCCTGGGCTTACTCCATATCTTCATATCATGCCCATCTGGTTTGGCTGTCCCTTCTTCAGAGAATACATAATGAGTGCTGGTAGGTAAAAGCAGAATGTCTCAGCTGTTGCTCCGTATTTTAGCTTCTGTTACAAATGTAGAGTCTATTCCTCTACTTACTGGTAAGTAATATCAGAAAAATCAGTGTTGGTGCTAAATTTAACCTCTATTTTATGATGAACTGTTGTGGAAAAAAAATTTGGAAGGTTTTATTAATAGTTTTGTAAACTATATCACTGAGTTGTTTTTTCTTTCTGAAAAGAAATTGCTGATTTTCCTTTGAACTATTAGAGAGCAGTCCTGAGTACCCATTATATACAGGAAGAGAAGGGCATAATAATTTGTAATTTTTTTTAGTCATTAGAAGGCATTTGTAAAACAAATTCAGGCTAATCTCTTACCTGAAGGGCTTAATCTTATACATTACAAATATCTTTATACTCAGAACTTAATTACCTGCTCCTGATTGAAGTCCCATGTTGCAAATTTATGTAATTTTAATTGAGATGTAAACACTAAAGAGAGTGACCTTTTTTCTCTGTTCTGAGAAGCATTTGTCAGTAATTAATGACTGGTACTACAGTACTAAAAAATAAAAATAACAAGCAATCAAGTTAGGAAAACAGAAAAATGAGAAGAATGAAATAAGAACTAGTGCTCCCCCCCAGTGGTTTAATACAGGAGTTATTTTACTTTAATTCACTCAACTATAGCATTTAAGCATGTTCTGATGCACGAGACTAAGTTCAGGAGACAGAGATCTAACTTTATTCATGACTGCAACACAGACCTTGTGATCTCAGAGAAGCTGTTCCACTGCTTCATCCACAGAAACATGCCTAGGATGTTGCCCAGATTAATATCAGGATTATTTATCTATGTATTCTTCAACATATCAGAGAATGCCTTTCCATGTAAATGTAATTTCTGAGGGTGTTCTTTAAGACTTGCTAAGTGAGGGCTTGGCAGGGGTAGAACGTTGCAATTTTAAATACTGTCTGGAAGTCAGATTTACATGTTTTTGGCATCTTGACACATGGGAACAAATATTTACCTGCAGAATGAGAAATAACTGCAGTAAAAAGCACACTAAAGAACAGCCAGCATTGGAGCTCAGTTTTCACAGGTATGCAGCTGATAGATGAGATGGGACCTTTGGTGCAATACAGGTCACCAGTCAAATCATAAAACACTTGCAAAACCTTCCATGTCCTGAAAGCCATGCTCCTGGCACAATGTCTCGTGTCCCAGTGTTTTCCTGCCTGTCTCCCAGCTGCAGTTGTTGTCTGTGGCAGTGCAGCTGTGGCACTCCTGGGCTGTGGTGTGAGCACAGAGCAGTGCCCTGTGTGCAGGCTGACAGCTCAGCTTCAGCAGCAGACACGTTTGTCCTGGGGAAAGGCAGCAGCTCCTGCTTTCCTTTCCAGGGAAAGTGCATGGTGACATGAATGAGAATCACTTGAATTATTTGTGAGTCCCAGGTCAGCGGCATTTTCAGAGTAACAGTGACTGTGAAGGTATATGTGGCAAATGGATGTAGCTTTTTACTGAGGTCTGGACTTGCTCCAGTTGCAAGCTATTCCTCTTGGTGGCCGGCTCTCAAAAGTAGATCACAGTCATCTTCCCTCTCTTACAAAATTTTTATGATCCACATTGTAATGTCTCTATTGGAAAAAAGACCAGGTAGGGAGCAGGACGTCCAAAAGAGCATTTTGATACCAGCTCTGTAAAACCAACAACATAAACTAGACTTGATCTCTAAATTGTCACTTAGATTATGTTAATTCAACACAGTGTAATTAAACGTAGCTTCTGGGTAAATGGGACCACTATAAGCCTTTGAAATAAAACTTAGGGCAAGAAGGAAAAAGAACCTTTGAAAGATTAGGTGCATATCTGTTGGAAAAAGGATTTTTCAAAGCACGAAGTCCAGAGCAAGACCTAAGGAAATGATAAAGTCTTGTACAGCAGTATGCTTCTGTTTAGAAGTGTCTGGATCAGCAGAAAAGCTTCACATAATTTGCTATTTTAGCCTAAATATTGATGAGTGCCTGGGCCTTTGTACTAGAGAATGAGCTGGTGCAGTTGTGCAGAATGGTAGAATTGAGTCTTCCCTTCTTCTAACGCTGTCATGCTATTGCCTTAGATGGAGCTGCTACTTTATAGCTTTGGATAGGATGGAGGTGTCTGCTTGGCACTGTAGCTCCAAGTTTGAGTTAACAAGTCCTCTATACCTTCTGTTGACTCCTCTGTGCCTGTCTTTATATGCACCTGCTGTACAGCTTTAGCTGCTGCCTCTCAGCAGAATCTGCTGCCATACACCTCCTCTGTTCTTGGACACAGAGTCTGTCTGAAGGGGAGTTAAGTTGCCAGAAGAGCACACCCTGAAGAACTCAAAACTCTTGCAATAGGCAATAGCATTTAACTCATCAGTATAAAGTCAAAGCACATGCCCAAAACCAAATCTGTTGCAGTGAGAAGATTGAGCCTAAACCTTTGAAATCTGTTCTGTGCTGCTACAATTTTGAAACATCATTTATATATTTAAAAATATCCTTAAATTCCACTGTACTTGTACATGAAGATTCAGTGGTCACTCTTAAAATGTTTCCTCCTGAAGGAATGGTTTCTGCATCCAAGGAAAGTGTCTCACACGTGCTGAGCAATAAAGGAGGTGGCCATGCATCCGTCATTGTGATCGGAGGAGCAGAGGAATCTCTGAATGCACATCCTGGAAGTCTGACCTTGAACATCCTCAACAGGAAGGGCTTTATTAAAATGGCCCTGAAACATGGGTAGGTCTTCCATGCAGCATGCTTTGAATGCAGATTGATTCATAAATATAGTTCATATTAGATAAAATTAGAGAATTTGAAAAGAGTCTAAGTGTCTAAGAACATGCAGATTTACAGGAGCCAGTCTGTTCACCTAGATCCAATCTGGGAGCTGAAAACTTGACTTTCATAATTTGTTACAGTAGGTGTTATTAGCTTATTTTGTTTTATTTCGGTTGTTTCTTGCACTAGCAAAGAGTAAGAATTATGAAATGATATTAGTAAATCTTAGCTGGTTTTGCTAAGTAGGGCAAACATTCTGCTTTCTGTTCTGTAAATTGAAGATACATTAAGGTAGAATTTTCTTATCATTTTAAGCAAACAAACAAACAAATTGGATAGCCAGGCCCTGTTTCATTAAATCACTGAAAATTATGGTGTAGGAAGATTTGTTTTTGCTATTATTCTAAAGATTTTCTTTCGAAGATTGCTGTTTGTGAAAGTAAATTCCTGGGAATTTTTGGTGAAAATCTCAAGAAAAACTAGATAACTTTTAACTATCAAGCAGCCATCAGTGTGTAATTAAGCAGAGATGGTATCAATATCTTTTGAGTGATTTACACAGTGTCAGATACTGTGTTTGTTCTTGACTGGTCTAGGTGGTTTGTATATTAGAAAAATTGAAACCAATGATCTGTTCCAGCTACACTTTCTGAACAGCTCCAGGATTATACATTGACACGTCAAGCAATGAGAAAAAATACTAGTCTTGAGAAATCTGTAAGAGCTTTTTAAGCTATTAACTGGAGAAAAGGTGGTCTCTGAGGAGCTCTCTGCTTTTACACAGAGTGCAAAAAACTAGAAACTGTTCTGTGCCAAAATTCCAAGGNACATATCACTAGGATTCTCATAAAGAATTTGTTTGCTAATAAAATGTAACATTTTAGTCTAATTTGTACCCAGAAAAAGTTCTTGTGTATTTGAATTGGTAGTTTACTCCCTAAATGAGTCTTCACTCAATTTTTGCTCAACTGTTGATAAATTCAGTGGGATCCTCAACACTCACTAGCTTTTATCTGTTTTAACCATAAAGATTGGTAAAATATTTAGGTACTTTTTTTTTCCTGAGTATGTTGATAGATGTCTGGTCTGTCATATCACAAAGGTTGGTGGTGATTATCTCTCATCTAAATTGGTTTGGATTGAGAAATCAGATACACCTGTGCCTCTCATGACATTGATTTCAAAAGTATCTCCAACACCTAACAGCATGAGTGGGACACTTACAAAACACCAGAATGGCCCCTTTACCCCTTCCCTTACTTAGACTGCAGTGATGGTTCTCGTCTTTCTGAAAGGGTCATGGCTGTCCAGAGCCCTCCTCTGGGTGGCAGTGCCCATCTCTGCCTGAGTGGCCAAGGGCTACAACTACATGGTCACTGTAACCAGCAGGCTCCAAGTCATTCCTACCAAGAGCAGCACAAAAACCTGCTTTTGTGTGAAGCATAGAAATTCTGACTTCTCACTTGTCCAGCAGAGCTGTGGGACAATGCAAACCTAACAGAGCTCTTGCCTAAAGAGCCAGCATCCAGTAATTGCTTCTGGTTTTCATGTCTTGTTTTTAACAATTAACAAAATGGGAAGAAAGTTTCCAACGCAAGTGGAAATGAAAGGGCAAGGGAGGCTTGTGGGATGCAGATGAGAAGACCAATCTGCCACCAGTGCCTGCACACATTCCTGGTGCTCATCATTTCCAGCAGCAAATACCAACACAGGAAGAAAGGGGCAAGGCAGAGGGTTGTTCTCTCTGGCCCTGGCTCCTGTGCTTCCAGCACAGAGAAGCCATGTTCCTCAGCTAGGAGCTTGTCAAATGTGGCCTGAATATGTCAGCAAAAGTCCTCTGCACTTCTACAAAGGACATCTTGGTCCAAGGTAGTACAAATACCTGCTATGAAGTGAAGAAATCCTAAAGACACAAAACAAATGATGAATCAGATAACTTATCTTTAATTTCACAATCATAAGTTACTTATTTCTCTGTCTCAGCCTCCTACATAGCATCTTGCAAAAGCCTTCACTAGATTAAAACAAATCCCACAGTGTCAGGGCACCACAGCTATTGCACCACAAGATGTTCCTGTTTGTCTTAGTGTTGTAGTAAAAAGTGGAGCGTTTACACAGCCACAGTAAGTACCAGGCTTTATGATATTTCTTTTACAGCTGGCAGGGCAATAAACCCTCTGGAGAAAGAACCTTTGAGCAGACACTAGTCAGAATAGTATGTGAGAATGATAGTCTGTGTGAGTCTCCAGGCTAAAGAAGCTGTTGGAGCAGTTATTTTTTACTGTACAGGTGGATTCTGACTGTCCACAGTGCTTTCCAGCCAGCTCTGTCCTCAGTGCATCCTCCTCAAGCATTCACAGCTCTGCAGAAATTAATTCTGACAATGTTCTAGCAATACTGCTATTTTACAGTAAGGTTTTTCTCAAAGGTAGTGGGGGCAGAAGAGAGCTAAGATACAGAAACTAAAAAACAACCCTGAATCCTTCAGAGACTGCTTGGGATTACCCTGCTTTTTCTTCTCTAAACTCTGTAGAATACTTAATGAAACTAAGCATTAATCAAAAACCATACTGCAGCCAAGATTTTAAATACAATGATGGGTTTACCTGCTGGAGACAGCTGCACTGACTCTATCCACTCAAGTAGTTTATCTAGGAGCTAATCAGTGCCTTTCTTCCCAGGCCAGTTAATGAACTGAATGAAAATTCATTAGGCTGTGCAAGAGCCAAAGTGGGTTCTTATAATTTCTGTGGGTAAGATGTGACCTCTAGTAATAATGGATTAAGGCTACTGTTTTCAAAGAAGTCCAGAGGAAGCAGGGTTTCACTGGGAATTGGGCAGCAGAGGAGGAATTTGGCATTGAAGTCATGTCTGTGAGGATGTCTGGTTTTTGTCATGGTTTTTGTGCTGAAATCAAGGGCACGCATTACTCTGGTCAAAAGACAAGGGAAAGCCAAGATCTGGTTTTGATGCCACCCAGCTGGGAGCATTATAAGGTTAGCAATGAGGCTCCTTTTCTTGCCAAGAGAAAAAATGTAGTGGAACACGAGTGGACTTGCTGAAATAGTGGTGGATAAAGACATACTTATGATATATGCAATTACTCATTTTCATAATTCCAAACAGTCACAAATTTCAATAGCTACTGACCAACTAAATACTGCCAAAAGCGAGTTGCTAGTTGTGTGCCAATCACTTTATTTTTTTAATAAACACCAATCAGCCAAGGCATCCAAAAAGCTGCTGCACATGAGAAGAGTTGAATGCCTGTTGCTGATGAAATCCAAAGCTGCTGAAACTCTCTGTGCTGGTTATTGTGAAACTGTTTCCATGCTGCTAATGTGAAGTGCAGTGCAAGTGCAGGCTGATGTAGAATTCTCAGTGTCTTCTTTGTTTTACAGGGCTCATCTGGTCCCGGTGTTTTCCTTTGGTGAAAATGAACTATTCAAGCAAGTTGCAAACCCCAAAGGTTCATGGCTCAGGAATGTACAGGAGAAGTTACAAAAGATAATGGGCTTTGCTTTACCACTATTTCATGCTAGAGGAGTATTCCAATACAGTTTTGGCTTAATACCTTACAGGCAACCTATTAATACAGTTGGTAAGTTCTCTGCATCTTTTCTAGTGTGTTTGAAAATGTTTAGAAATTCTAAACATTTACACCTAAATATTAAACATCTAAACATTAGTATGCTGCTAATATCTGTAAATTTATAAATCTAACAGAATTTATTACTGTGCATCTAAAACAAGTGTGTGAAGTTTACTGTCCTTCCCAATTAAAGGGGGCAATTCTTTTCTCCCTTTCCCCTTTCTGTCCCAGCCCAAATCTTACTCTTCATTCTATCCTTAGCAATCCATAAAGAAATCCAAGAGTTGTCCAGTTTTTATGAGAGGGCTGCCACAGCTCTGCACCTGTTGCTGTGGGTTCTGGATGCTGCAGTTGTTTTGTGAGAAGCCCAGAACCTTGATTTCTTAGCTCTGCAGAGAAGTAGCAGTTGGATGTTCCAGCTGATGCACAGTCAGCCCAGCAGAGCTCTGGAGCAGGGCTACAGGAAGGAGCTTGCATGGTTCTCATCAGGACAGAGGGAGAGATGCAGGAGGAAAGGGAGTGTACACATTGTGGTGCCACAGCCCTTGGGCAGGCTGCCACTTAGATGGCTTTGCCTTGGAAAGATCCTGTCATGTTGAATTGTGAGTGTGCATGCCACGTCGCCAGGCAGTTTGGGAGAGTGTTTTTCCCCAAAAGCTTTCATTACTGCTCATCTACTCTCACTGAAGTGTGGAACTGAACATATATTTAATAGTTTTACTAGTGCTATTGACAACCACACCTTTACAAAATAGGTGATGCTGGATCTCATTCAAAGGTAATAGCTGTCTGTCTGTAAATTTTTTGATAAATCATTTTTAGACAGATTCTGACCTGAGTGAACTGAAGAAAATTGAGCTTTTCTGGTGTTCCACATGGGACTTTGAAGGTGCTCCCTCCCTTTTTATGGGGTTCGTTTGATTATAATAGAATGAAACATAGAAAATGTTTAAGACAAAAAACATAGCTCTTTTTATGTTACATTTCAAGCAGATCTGTGTTTTATCAGTTCATGCAGTTGAATATTTTGAAAATATTACATTTTTAAAGCCCACATTGTACACAGGCAGGCTAAAAGTTTCACTTATTTTAAAGCCAAAAAGTTTTAGAATGAGATGTATTGGATGAGATCTATAATCTGCAATTTTTTTGGAGGAGGCTCAAAAAAAGGACTGTTCTGAAGCTTAAAATGTCTTATTCATTGAGGCATTTCTTCATCATGACAAAAGCACAGGGGTGCTACAAATTAGCAAGACCAGAGTCTTGCAACAGAACTTGTAAGATCTCACTAGGTCCTTTGCCTTCTGTGTCTCTTTCCCTGTGTTTGAGAGCTATCACAATGTCCCTGTGTCCTTGGAAGTGTGTGGGGTGTTCTTGGTGTGGCTCAACATGGCTTTGAAAGCATTGGCTCAGCTCCTGTGAGCTGCAGAGGCACAGTGAGCTCACCTGAGGTGATGAACTGTGGCCAGGTATGGCTGATTTCAGTCCTGGTTCAGAAGCCATGGGTCCAAGAGCCATTCAGCTAAGCCAAGATTGTGACGTTTGAGTGTTTTAGGCTTGATGAGTGAAGTACTTTTGTTTTTCCTTTTTTTTTTTTTTTTTAATATTTTTTTTTTTTTTTTAATTAAATGTATTGATGTGGAAATCAAAA